CCAAACTCCCCAACTGCTGGGGGCCTGGATATAGTGAGTGCCTGGGTTCAGGGTCTTACCTGGTAGGAAGCTGGCTGGAGAGGGAGGGTGGGGGCAGTGGCCAACTGCAGGCCTGTTCTCTTTCTAGTTACTGCTTAGTGGAAAAGACAGGTGGTAAGATTTAAGGAGCAGCAGGTGGGCCAAGTTGCTCCACAATAGCTCTTTCCTGGTCCCATTGCTGCATTGGTTTCAACCAACTGGGATCAATTTTAGTTATTAAGGAAAAATCTGCAGAGAAGATTAAGAGTGGGGACTAGTTGTCACTCACCCCTTAGTATGAATTAGTTTGCAGAAAGGCTTTCCCTAAACCTAGCTGAGATCAAATCACAAAGAGAATGGAATTTTGTAGGTAGAGAGAATTGTGAAATTTGAAGCCTTGGAGGGGAGGGCAGGAGTGGTTCTGGCACAGGGTTTGCTCAGGCATGGGAGCACTGGAAAATTCAGTTAGCAGCAGAAGAAAAAGGTACCAGAACACCTGAGAGAGGATGGGAAGGGAGATAGGAGAGAGGAGTTTCAAAGCTTTGCCCAGAGTAAGCTCTTTCCCCTTCCTCCTCTTCCAAAAGGCCATGGAGAGAAACTTCTCAGCCAAGTGCAGGTGTCATTTATCTTGACACTCAAGCCCTGTCCTGGAGAGGCAAGTGAGGCAGGGAAGGGACAAGCTGGTTGCCTGTCAGAACACATGCTTTGGCCCCCTGTCCTGGGAATCAGGAATCAGGCTGCTGTCCCCAGCTTAACCATCCAGGTGTGCAGCAGAGGCACCCCGGACCCCGCTTCCTGGTTCCTCCCTGCCCCAGGCTCAGCCTAACTCACAGGAGGAACCTGGTGGAGGCATGGAATCCTGCTGCTCCATGTGACTGAGTCGGCTGGTGACAGGTACGTTTTCCTCATAGAGGATAAGGTTGAGAAGGTGGAGTCAGAGATGCTTTCCTGCACCTCTCCCCCCACTTCTGGACTACGTGTAGCAGGAGCAAAAAAGTTAAACTAAACTTGGAAGTTCCAACCATTTAACCGTACAGCAGGGTTACCCGGTATCCAGCAGGAAACCACACCTCGTTGCATTTTCCATCTCCTAAACTTTAATTCCAGTGAGTATACTAAGCTCTCATGTTGGAACACCCATTTTGCTACATTCATATATGACAAATTTTTCTTTTAGTTTTAAATCACATTTTGCTTTATGTAAAACTTTACATGATTCTTTTGTTAAAAAATTCCTTTATTGAGATTTCACTTTTTCTTAGCATTTCCCGTATTTTATTTTTTATTTTTATTTTTTGTGTTGGCTGAAGTGATTGTTTTTTTTGCATTATAGTTGATTTACAATGTTGTGTTATTTTCTAGGGTACAGCATGGTGATTCAGTTATACAAATACATATATTCTCTTCAATATTCTTTTTTATTATAGGTTATAACAAGCTGTTGAATATAGTTCCCTGTGCTATACAGTAGGACCTTGGTTATCTATTTTATATATAGTAACTTGTATCTGCTAATCCCAAACTCCTAATTTATTCCTCCCTGCTTTCCCCTTTGGTAACCATAGTTTTGTTTTTTATGTCTGTGAATTTGCTTCTGTTTTGTAAATAATTTCATTTGTCTCATTCTTTTTAGATTCCACATATAAGTGATATCATGTGATATTTGTCTCTGTCTGACTCGTTTCACTTAGTATGATAATCTCTAGGTCCATCCATGTTGCCGCAAATGGCATTATTTCATTTTTTATGGTTCAGTAATATTCCATTGTGTGTGTGTGTGTGTGTGTGTGTGTGTGTGTGTGTGTGTGTGTATACCACAACATTTTTTATCCAATCATCTGTCAATGGACAATTAGGTTTAGGCTGCTTCCATGTCTTGGCTATTGTAAATAGTGCTGCTATGAACATTGGGGTATATGTATTTTTCAAATTGGCGTTTTCTCCAGATATATGCCTGGGATTAGGGTTGCTGGATTATATGGTAACTCCATGTTTCATTTTTAAAGGAACCTCCATACTGTTTTCCACAGTGATTGTACCAATTTACATTCCCACCAGCAGTGTAGGGGGGCTCCCTTTTCTCCAGTGTTTATCGTTTGTGGACTTTTTAATGATGGCCATTCTAATTGGTCACACACTTTTAATTAGTAGAGGTTACTAGTTAATTATAAAGAGGAACTGAGGTTACTAAACACATATCACTCTGCAATATCTAAGAGGAAATTCAACCATTGTCAGCTCAAGATTGGGCATTCTCCTGGTGAATAAAAGGATCCCAAGGTGGCATTAAAAGAATCACTTGAGTCTATGTAGATGGGAGCCACCATAGGACAAAGGCAAAGTTATATTTCAGCAATCTTTTCCTTAGTTCTCTCACCTGAGATGAATGAGAGCCTTTGATGGTTTCTTTTAGAAAGCAGCGAGAAACACAGGCAGATTTGCTGTCTCGGTACAGACTTGCTTGCTGGGATAACAGTTTCCTGTGAAGGTCTTTATTCCCCAAATTAAAAGTAAACAGGGACAGGAATCGTTCTTATCTACTATCCTAAATTCTCCATTTCCTAAAAACAGCAGGGGTGAGAATTTCAGGAGCGTAAGGGCCTAGAGGAACTCCATACCAGCTGACTTGGCAAAGTGAGGAAGAACGCACGTGTTCCCGGGGAGCACACAGGTGGAATATCAGCAGAGAGCAGCTCCAGCACCAAATCCAGAGTCACCAGGGGAGGTACATGTGGTGGTTACACTTCATTCTTAATATTCAATTCTGCTCCAGTAGAACATGGTACCTAGGAGAACCCAAAACTAGAATACAAAGGAAAAGAAAAACAAAGAAAAATAAATAAGGACTTGTTTTAGAAACACCTCATACTTGGGGAAAAAAATGATTTTAGGTTCATTCAGGTTAAGTGACACTGGATTTTTGAGAGTAATCTCACCTTAAGCATCGCCACAGGGGCAGAGGTGACACTGAGTCCATCCTGACACACAGTGAATCAGTATTCTCCCAAATAACCAATGTTCATTGGTCTAGATGTTCTAGATATTCTAGAATCATGGATGGGTGAAAGATTTATGCAAACGGCAAGACAAGCCAATGTAGTGCATTTTAATGTAATAGAGTCTGAAATGTTCTTCGACATTTCACACTCCTTATTGCAACTCATTTTTAAAAAACTACTACTTGTCAAGTTTTATGTGGTACTAAAGAAGAATATTCACAATTATTTATTATTATTATTAATGGGGAGGGTAATTTTAAGTTTATTTGTTTTTATTCTTAGTTTTTTAAACAGAGGCACTGGGAATGGAACCCAGGACGCTGTGCACGCTAGGTACGCACTCCGCCACTGAGCTATACCCTCCCTCCTCCAATTATTTTTGATAAGGCCACCAAAACATTCCTGTTGTTTTCAACGACATAGCCATGTAGAGGGTGGATTTTCTTCAAATCCTTCAACCTAAGCAACGTATTATAACAGATTAAATGAAGATGAAATATGGGAACCCAGCTGCCTCCTGTTAAAGCCAGACATTGAAGGGAATTCCAAAAAT